TTTTGTTTTCCATGCAGTTTTAGCTGCGCCCAAAGTGCTCTCACGACTTTGTACAATGCTGCTGCCAAAACAAGCCTTGAGCATTTAATCAAATTTCTAACTCTACAGTCTGATCAATTTATGCTGCAATATTCATCTGCCACAGCAGCACACACATGATCTCATATTCATAGAAACAGCTCGACAAAGGAGAGAGCACCGCTGTTTGTCTTATCAAAACAATGGCATCTCACAAGATGAAATGGTAGCATGATTTAAAAATGCGGCTGCTGCCACAGCGAGAGTTGTTTCAGAACATGATTGTACATTCAGAGATCGTAAAGTACCGGCTCTGATCTAATCACAGAATGGAAATGAAACAAATCCTTTCCCTTGGAACCGACAGGCACCAGCAATGTGATGGAAGAATAAAGGCTGCAATTTGAAATGACTTGCATCTCAGAATAAAAAAGTTGCTCTTGTAGACATTAAACATGCATTTGTGAGATGATGTGAGCACCTTCGGGGAATTTAATACAACTTTGATTTCTTTATGCCAAACAATCATTTAGCGCTGGTTTCAACACCTCAGGCCTGTGCTGCAGTGAATATTTACCAGCAATGGAAAAATCTGATGGGAATCACAGTGAGGGGAATTTATGGGCCAACGACGATGTGGAACGACTTAAGAGTCACAGACAGAAACCTTCAAATATTAGGATTGAATTTATGGATGCTCAAGATGGAGAGGTTGTTCTCAAAGTATGCTTTGCTTTTACTCTTTGTATGAACAGCATCGGTTTTGTAAAATAATTCTCATTTCTCATTTTTTAAGCAAAGTTTTATAAAAGGTTGTTTATATTCAAAAAACCCTTTTCTGAATAAAAGTGACAAAAGACTCCTTAAAAACACTTGACACTCACCAGCTATTCATAACCAAACAAAAATTTGTTGCACATTGCTATCATGCTCTCACAGAGCCTCTCTGTGTTATCTAAATGTAGTAATAAAATACCAGGATATTTTCTAAATATTTTCATTAATTGTGAAGTGGTGTGATAACCTTTGCTAATCTGTAAAATTTGAAAAAGTAAAGCAGTATCATGACCTTTCAAAAATCCTTCAGAAATCTATTCTGAACAGTGAAGAGTACCTCTCTTATTAAGAGACACTCTGACACATATTTACTAAACATGTCTTTTGAAAATAGCACTTCAGGGTCATACTTTTAGATACACTCAGATTATTCACAGCAACCTTTCAGAGGTTTGTGGAACATATTTTCAAGATACAAATCCAAATAAATTTGGAAGCAAATAGATCTGTGTAAAGTTAAGTCAGAGAAGTTTGTGATCACCTACAATTGTCATAAGGACAGTTTCCGGTGTTTTTCCATCCCGTGTTACAGGCGCCGACAGCCAGCATCCTCTGTCTTCCTTCAGCCTCTGTGAGACAGGCCCTAACTCTGCAGGCCACATGAAAGTGGTGTGGGTTTGGAAAATAGGGCGATAAGTTTCTCAGCGATGTGTTCAGCATGCTCCAGCCTGTCCTTCCTGCTCCCCATCGAGCCGTTCTGTCACTCAGCTGGATCCTCTATGAGAAGCTCAAGATAGATACAGAGCAGTGCAGAAAGAAGCTTCACCTGCACCGCATCCCAAGCACTTTAAAGTTATCCGTTATAGAGGCTAAAATCAATAGTTCTTCTCTACAAGATTTATTTTAACCTTTGTTGGTTTATTAGCTTCAAAAATATGTTTTAAAGTTGCAGAAAGTTGTGCTTCTTGAGAGCGAATCTTAACAAATAGCAGGGAGCTTAATGCTGTTGTACACTACTGTATGGTAATATATTCTAAACTTTTCAGTCAGATATTTTTCTATATTTGTTAGGATTATCTTGATCGGCACAGCAACAAGACAAAGACCAATAAATGAGTTGCCAAACGAGCCAGAAAATGCTTCATCACTCAGCTTCCACTCTGAAAACTAAACAATCCTGTAAACTCTGAGCTGCAGTCTGTCATGTTTAGACCAAAAGGTCCAGAGTCCTCAGCTTGACAGAAAAAGAAGTGGAGATAACCCAGTACAGAAACAGCTAGCTAGACTAACCAAAATAAAACATGAAGTTATTAATAGAAACAACAAAAACAACTCTAGATGTAAGAAAGTTACCATATTTTCTGGACTATAGAGCGCACCCCACTCTAAGCTCCTCCCACAAAGTTTAAATAAATAAATAAATAAATAAATAAATAAATAAATAAATAAATAAATAAAAAAGCTGGAAACGTATATTTGCCGGACCGGGCTGGTGTCTCCGCCGCTCTGGGTTTTCCACAATAAATCTGCTATTAAGGATGCAGCCCTCCGTCTCCAACGCCGAACCAAAAGCTGCATCATATGAACTTCTTCGTGTGGTTTCCATGATGAGGGGGTATGAGCTTCAGTCGTGCCTGCTGCTAGCATGTGCTTCAAAAGAAAATTAGCACTTTCTTCTTTGATTTCCAATTTTGACTCCCAATGATTCGCTTCCTGCTAAAGAGCCCCCTGGTGGTTGAAGAAAAATCCACAGAAAAACCGCACCGGGTCATAAGCCACATAGTTCAAAGCGTGGGGGAATGTATAGTCCGAAAAATACGGTAACAACCTAAACATTATAAACAAAGCCCAACACTAGACAAAGTGGTTAAACTTTGTGACCAAAATTTAGATTGTTACCAATTATTTTTTTAAAAATTAAAATTTTCTTCATTTTTAAAACAAATGTTGAGATTGTTTAAATAGATGTATTTGACTTGCTTGAAGTTTGTTTGCTTTTTCCTACCACATCCTTATTTTATTCAGGCAAAAAAGGATGCAGTAGCCAGCAGTATCTGCAACATAATGGTTTGCATGATTTAAACAATGGTAAAACTGAATGCTAATAATGCAAATAAAATATGAAAACTGATTACATAACTTTTATTTGTAGATGATCTTTTTTTAAGCTAAGTAGTAAATGAAAGTAAGAACAGTCAGCATGGCATATGCTGAACCACAATGTGAAAAAATTCCATTAAATTAAACCCTTATATTTCTTTACAAAATAAATTAATACTAAAGAAAGAATATACTACCAGAACAAGAAAAGCTGATGAATCCCATACAGGGGTATTCCTCCACACATTGGCAAGAGAGATAAGGGCAGAGGGAGAATAAAATTCAAGAAACGAGTCGCTTCAGGTCTGATAATTTCTCTAAGGCCTCATAAACAAAGATGAAAGTGTAGAAGAAAAATAGGCGTGTTTTTTGTCCACAAAACTCTCGTTAGCATTTTGCTTTCAGGAATCACAGAAAAAAAAAAAAAAACCTCAAATGACAACAATTTTCATGTATAGTCTAATAAAACACAAATTGATTTCACACCTTCTTTGTTTCGAAAGAAGGTGCTCTCTTACTTTCTGCGAAATCTGTTCACAGTTTAAACTGTATCCCACTAAATGTTTTATTACAACTGTACTTTTACAAATACTTTTACATACATTTTTTTATGTTTGAATTTTCTGGGTTTCTAAGCTGATTTGAAAATATGTAACCAAAGTAACAAAAAATGTATAATTGAACATTTTAGAGTTTTTGAAAGTTTAGCTGTTTTTTATTTATGAATTAATTTTTAACCTGAAAGTTTAGCTGTTTTTTATTTATGAATTAATTTTTAACCTTGGCACCAGTCACGGCCCATCCAGACCTTTTCCATACCTGCTTATCCTTGCAGAGTGGTAGGGAGGGGAGTATGACTGTCCATGCATGAGTTTTCTTTTATCTGTGTTATCTGGGGCTTTTTGCGGAAGGTACTTGAGGAGTTTCAGCTGCTTGTAATGCTTATAAATGATTTTTGAGCTTTGCATTACAAAAGCAAAAGCTGTGACCTTCTTGGTATGGATTGAATCCCCCATGGCTGCCTCTTGTCATCGTTGTGGCAGGATATGAACTGTTCCCAGACAGGATCTCAATGAGTTAAAGCTGCAGTATGTTGCTTTTGTAAAAATAAAATACATCTTGATTTGCTGGTTTGTTAATGTTCCAAGCCTTACCTGTGTTCATGGGATTTGTATTAGAGCTGAAACGATTCCTCAAATTATTTGAGTACCTCGATTATTAAAATTCCTCGAGGAAAATTCATCTGCCTCTAAGCTTTATTAAATTATGTTTTATTATGTAGCAGTGTGATGTTGAATTGTGAGGTGTTTTGTCAGGATTTGGGGGCAAATAGCGTGGCATATGGTTGGACTACGACAGCATTTCTGCTGTCGGACGCGGTCTCTCTTTCTCTCTCAGCATATTGAGAGAGAGAGAGAGAGAGACCAGTAGCATAGCTCTGAGAGAGAGAAATCTGATTCCTCGATTAATCGTAAAAATACTCTATAGAGTACTCGATTACTAAAATATTCTTTTACAACAGCCCTAATTTGGATTATGACAGAACAGGATCCCGAAGACAAGCGTATAAAATTATGGTGTCTGTGTTCAGTCTTTGACTCGGAGTGAAGAGCTCTGTTATTCAGGAGGACAGGTAAGATTTGAACCTCTTCTTTACATCAAAAAAAAAAAATCGTTGAGGTGATTAGTGTATCTGAATAAGAGCCCCCCTCCCCGGAAAGCTAACATTTCAGAGTTTTCAGGTACATCCCACACAGAGGAGGAGACCCTGAGGGAAACCCAGCATTCAGGGGAAAGATCCCTTCTGGCTTACGAACAACATGGAGTCCACCGAAAGGAGCTGGAGGGTGTTGGTGGGGAGATGAACATCTTACTCTCCCCTGCAGACCTATTACCTTACAATCTAATCGTAGATAATCCCAAAGGAAAGGTTTATGTCTCTGAAAAGTCTAAAACTTTTCTTTTCTATCAGTTATGCCAGACAAGTTCTGTCAGAGGAATACACAGCAGTATTACACATAAAATCTGTCAGAATGCATCGTCCTGAAACAAATCTTGACTTTGCATAATCTAGTGAGAAAATAAAAGAATGAAAACACAGTGAATATGCTAAAAGACAGTTTTATTAGTAGACACTCATCAACCAGAAATAACCACCTGAAAAAGGTCTTCCTGAAATACACCATTAGATAGGCAGTGTAAAAATAAGGCAAAGGGCTTAAGATAATCAGTTTCACACATTTGCACCAAGAATAGGTTATACATTCACTTGTTACTGTAGTTATGCTCATGATAAATTTGTCCCCAGTTACCTCAACACAACATTGTCACAACACTTTGCAATAACTGCTTTGGCAACAGCTTGGCAAAAAGGACAGTTTACCCAAAACCTCAACAATAGGTAGAACCTGGCAATGAAGCCAAGTACGTCTCAACAAAATGTTCATATAATTAACACCAGTTAAAGTCTGTATTGTTCTGGTGACACTGTTTTCATGGAGCCTGTTATAATGTGTGGCATAGATTTTATGAATTATAATTTATTGTATTCAACAGACAAATTAATTTCCTCATTTTTCATTTTTCAACACAAACATTTCAAGAGAGCAAAAGCGCAAAGCGGAATAATGATTAATTAGGTTCTAATAGGAGCAAAAACATAAATATATTTTAGTTACGTCATATCAAATTGTTACCTTGAAGTTATTGTCTTGTGTGTCAGCAATTTAGTCATTTCCCCCCTCAATTCAACCTGCAAGCTAAAACTAAATCAATGTAAATGTAAATGGTAATTTAGAGACCTCAACCTTCATTTCAGCAACTAGTTTCACTAAAGTTCACAGTGAGCCAACAGACTGAACAACTGTAATTTTTTTCACTTAATTTTAAAGCCATGCTTAATTCTACAGTTAAAATGTAATTTAGCAACTGATTACAAAGTGCAAGTATGCATGAGTGAGACTGTTAGTGCACATTTAAGTAGTGTGACCTGCATCAAATAGAGACAAATAACAACAACGACTAAAAGTAAGTCTTATGCTGCGTTCTGTTTGTCTAAGAAGTTGGAGCTTGGATCTGGGAATGATGTCGCACTGATTTGGAAAACCAGCAGGATTTACTAGTTGCTGTGTTGCTACCTACTGTTAGCAATACAAGACAATAACAATGCATTTCTCTCCATCTTAAGTGTTTAAAACCACTAAAAGGAACACTTTTACTAATAGATATCTTACATCACCCTAAGTGCAACTGGTTTAATAAGGTATAAAGTGTAGAAAGCATCTGCAGATTTCACAAGCTGTACAAGATACTGAACCTGGTAGGTTACTTGATGATGGCCGACTTTGGAAAATCTGTCTTTTGAGTCCAAACAGAACACATTTTTATGTCCTGAAAGTTGCATTCTGTGTGAGGAATATATCGGTGGTGTATTACCATGGACATGATAGTGCAGCTCCAGTGTATTCCAGCAGTGTTTCTATAATATACACTTTCAGAGGGGTGAAAGACGCATTTTTGTGTCGAGGAGCTAAAAACCTCATTCAGTGCCATCCACTAAACACACACAAAACTAATTTGGGGTTACAAAATGTCAGGAGCCAAGATGTGTTATGAGGGGGAATTAAGCTCATCAAGCATCAGAGTTTAAATAATCAAAGAGCTTATTTCCAAACTTTTATATATCCTTTTTTTTTTTTTTTTACAGAATAGGATGCTTTCTTCTCTAAAGGTGCGTTTCCACAATGAGACCCAGAATTATTCCAGAGGGACTTAATTTCCTGGAAACATTTTTTTTTTCATCCTTGCATTTTATGTGCATTTTGTCTGTGGTCACTCACAAACTATGTCCACTGATGCTGAGGCGCAGATATTTGCCCACTTCAGCAGGAGATCAGATCGGTTCATATCAGTTAAAACCAAGTACCAAGTTCAAACTTTGTGGAAATGAGAGACTAAAATGGATTTCATGTGAACTGTGCTGATTCAAATCCGAACAATAAAAGCTATTATTTTTGACAATGACAACAATAACGGATATTGTGATCACTCTTTATATTTCAATTTTAAAGTTATAACTGCAACTTTTACTTTGGCAGATTTTGTTGTGAATTAAAGGAGGGAAAAAAATCCACTGAATTTTAAAACTTAACGACTCCATTAAGAGGACACAAAGGCTGCACCAGCTTCAATGTTAATGCATCTCAATATATAAATGTGGTATAGTATTGTAACATTGACAGTTAAAATATCTAAAAATCTGCTTTCACACAAATGTTACTCTCCAATTTCCACAGATGGCTGAAAGTAGAAGTCTGTGGTTCATCTAATTTATTCAGCTAACCACCAAGCTTAGATGATTTCATTAATGTGTTTGAATGTTAACATGATTCTCTACAAGAGCGAGGGGACTTTTATGGTTTCAAACACCATTAATAATTACTCTTGTCTCATTATTTCAAATTAACTGTGAAAAGGTTAAGCAGGGATGACTGAAACAGAATGCTGGGATATGTTCAACCTGTAAAAAATATGTTGCACCCACAGCTCAAAGCCCATCAGTTTTTCCCCCCACCTCTATCAGAACAGCTTTTGCATATATTTCTACCTTGGTTATCTGATTTGGCCCTTGTTTCTGAAGTGGAAACCAAGGTAAAAAAAAAAAAAAAACCCAACAACTTTGCTTCCTGGAAAAGGTTCCTGCAGTGGAAATGCACCTTAAACCACCAACTGTTACAATTTCACCTGTGCAGAATCTTGTGTGCTCAATTTGTTCCTACGTCTTCAGAAAGGTTTTCTGCTGGTGGATATTCAGCTTTGGAAAGAAACTCTTCAGTGACACAACACTCTACACTAGTATTACTCAAAGAGAGATAAATGACATCAAATAGAGTTAAACGTACTTTCACCAAGAAGAACTAAGTATATCTTTTTTTTTTGTATATATATTCACATGGATTTTAGAAATACATAGAAAAATATATAGTCATCTGAATGCCCATTATACAATTCTACCCAGTAGAGTCAGAAAGAAGCCTGTACAGTAGTGAAGATTACATGTGATACATATAAATAGGGCTACGGACGGCGTGAGATCTGGAAGTGAAAGCTGTTCAGGAGATATTTAACGCGGCTGATGGTGAAGTCTGGCCACAATCTTTTCCTCGTCCAATATTTCAAGGAACACATTTCTGAAATCAACTGCAACTGTTTTTGTCTGCATAACAACAGCATGCTGCTCACTTCATTTTGAGGGATTTGATTGACTGGCAAGTCAGCACCACCAACATACAGGGATATTGGCAACAACAACTTTTACCTTGCAAATATAGAGATGCCTTGCATTTACGCCAACAACCTCCAGAAACAACCTCTGGTGACGGTGGACCCACAGCACAGTTATGAGTTAGACTACATATATATTATGTTTGTGTTAGAAGTATAAAAATGCTACAATAAGTGCACACAGCTTTCAAGCGGGCAGCATTTGACACATTTTAAAGTTTTTTTTTTTTTACTCTTAATATTAAGAGTATAAGTTTGTTATAGTTTATATTAGTAAAGTCATTTACACAAATGATCTGCATTAGAACTCATACACAGAGGTATACTGATGGCTGACCTACTGTAAGTCACATAATAAATGGAAAAAAAAAAACATTTCAAATTTCTAAATAAAAGAAGTTGATTTTCAAGAGGCCAATAGAAATGAAACTTAATTTCCCCCCAAGAATTAAATAGTAGTAATTCAAAGTTACATAGCTTTTTTGACACATTCAAATGTCTCTGCTTGTCAAACTAATTCTAATATCAGAGAAAATATTAACTGAGGAAAAACAAGCCAGAAATAAAGTTGTTCAAACCAACCTGGCCATATGTGAAAAAGTAATTAAAATCCTTTTCAAATCATGAATTAACTGCACAAGTAAGCCAAAAAGCAGCCAACAAGTGTTTGTTATAAATATAATTAATCAGCTGTGGGTGCAGCACAATCAATTCATGATTTAACAAGAGCAGTGATTACTTTTCCGATGAAGGTCCATGTTGGTTTGGATGCCTTTAGAACCTTACTAAATTAAATCCTCATTTAAAAACTGCTTTCTATCTTTTTTAACTCAGGTTCTCTTTATCTGACATTAACACTTGTTTAACCCTTTTCACTGTAAATATTGTTGCCCATCTCTCCCTTACATCTATTACAACGCCGACTTGACTCACGCTAAGATTAAAGTCTATTAACTCTATCACTTTGTTTGTGTTTACACATTTATTTAAATCACTGACTTGTTGGACAATTTAATACAACTTAAATACTAAATATATTTGTGGTGAAAACCCCCCCCCAAGAAAAATAAGGTTTTGTTAAATCCAAATATTTGGTCTCTGCTTGGGTCCAAAGAACCAAATGATGCGCATGAACTGTTATTTGTGTTAAGATTAAAACCATGGTAGAGATGTAGATGTGGAATGTTACTGATTAAAGATCCATGGCATGTGATAGACTAGTAAAGATCATTAAAAGGCTTGGAGTAGTTGAACATCAGATAGTCCATGTAGTAGAAGTCGTACACTCTCTGTCTCTCCATAAAGCTGACCTGGGAAAAGTATCTTTCTGTGATCTCTTTAGAGGTCCGCACGTCTTTTGGATTCCTGTCTTTAAAACTAGGTAGTTTGAGGCTGTCCGGTGCTCCGATCATTCGCAGCAGGAAGTTGGACTCCTCCCCCATGTTCTCAAACTTGCCGATCAGGTCGTAGTCTATGAGACAAGGGTGGCAAAGCTTGTTCATTTGCTCCCAGTGGATGTCCATTCCCACCGGTCGGTGGCCATCCAGCAAGTACTGCACAAACTCTTTGAATGTGACCCCATTGCCAGTTTTAAGGGCTTCTGCAGATGGGGCCTCCCTGTATTTTGATATGATGGGTTTTCCAAACAGATTGTGGTAGTAGTCATTGGGATTCTCAAACTTGTCCCTGTATGCTGACACAACCCTATCCAGGGGCTCACGGACAAACATAAATTTTTTATAGGTTTGGAGACGGTGCATTATTTCTTTTTGGTTGAATCTGTTCAGTGTCTTGAGGTACCCACCATAGTGTACCTGTTCATGATTAAGGCTGTCCGGGTTGGACGCCTTGCCCGACAACACTATAAGGGTCCTCTTCCAGTTGGAGCAGCCTGATTTGGGCACCTCACAGTACAATACTTTGTATTTCTCCTCCACATATATGTATTTCACATGATCCGGTGTGATCGTCCTTGAGATGCCGCTTTTATATTTTGCACAGATATTCTTCATTACTTGCTTCCGAGCTTCTAAGATACTTGAGAGGTTACTCCGGCTCCCTTCTGCAGAAAAACTAGGAAGAGATGTTAGGGAGACATTTTTGCTGTGGATGATCTGAGGACTTGTTTTCAGTAGTTTGCGTTGTCTCTTGGTGATTTGAGGGGTCCCTATATCCTGCTCCTGAGAGACAGTGGTAGCTTTCTGTTTGCTCTCCTCAACGTTCGGGTGTTGCATTGGGGAGACGGGGTTGGCTTCTGCAGCTTGGAGGCCCTGATCAAACAATGACAACACAGAAGGAATGAAATAGCAGCAGACATGTGAGACGAAACAAAAAAATACACTTTGTGCTAAAAATGGGAATAAGCATGCAAGAGTGTGCTTGTCTGAAAAAAAAGGAAGGTTTTATTCTCAAATCGGTCACTTGATGGTGCTGTTTTACCACTGCTTAAGCAAAGGTATAACTTTTTGAACTGCAAATGTCACATAGAGCTCAATGTAATCCGTGACCTATCAATAAACGGAGCTGTAACATCATATAAATGTCTTATAAACACTAAATGGGGAATGTAAATTAGAATCATCTACTGCCTGATTATCATCAGACGACGGCTAAGGCCATCACACATTCTGACATTTTATTTCAATTAAATGCTGTAATGACATCATTAAGCCAATGGACTAGATGTATAATTTTAGTTTTACTACAGACAAGGTGACAGGGCCATCATAAATCTCCGGTGCTCATCTTTCTGACTTAAAAGGCCAGATTCTTTCATCTGCAGGGACATGTAAAGGGAGAAAAATAGGGAGTGTTTTCTCCCTGTCTGTTTAATGTGCAAGTCAAGCTAGACACAGAAAGCTATGCTGCAAAATCCCCTTTCTTTAGGCTTTGCTGTGCTGCAAGTCTCCTTGCTGCTGATGAACACAGCAGAAAAAGGAGAAGGCAAGGGTCAGCTGAGAGCCCGTAACACCTACTTGATGAATCGTCTGCAAGTAAAACATACTTTCTCTCTCTTACTGGTGAACTACCTGAACACTTAACTGCATGTGGCTCAAAGGATCAATCATCATGCCAACCGTTTATTTAATGTGATATCTAATATGTTGTTGTTTTTATTAGAAGAGCAGAGGACAAGTCAGCATATTATGAAACAAGGTTGTTCAAAATGGGGCCCTTGGGATATTTTTGTGTGGCCCCTGACTGCAGTACAAGAATAGCACAAATTAGGCCCACCAGCAAATGGGAATGATGTCTCTTCAGTCAACCATATTTCTTGCTGTCTTTTTAAATATTATAGTAAGTAGTTTGACTTTTTACACAACAAACTAAAACAAGAAAAAAAAAAAAAAAGTTGGAAAACAATATGACTTCCTTTTATTAAGCCAAACATCTGCAATACTTAGTCGGATTGAATTAGGTAAAAGCAAGAAGAAATATGAAAATTAAAAATAAAATAATTTTTATGTTCTAAGCTGGAGAAAAATGGCATCCGAATGCTTTTCAACTTACCGATTTTGCAAAAGGTTTGGACAACACTAAAATAAAGAACGCATCTTAAAGACCAAACATGCTTGTTAGAGAATATTAGTGAACAAATACCACGGTGACAACACCTCAGGAAAAAACCTGGAGAAGTTTGTGTGTTGATAAAAAGTCACAAAAGAACTCAATTTACCAAGTAAACTTAGAGATAATAAAGAATAAAATAAGGTTCCAATGAATTTGGTTGACTTTTGCTTTGAATACTGGTTTAATTAATAGTTAATTACTTTAGAGGTGTTTAAATTTGTTGCCCAAATCTAACACATTTTATCGGCCATAATGACAGACAAGCTGGTGCCAAATCACAAAAGCAAGATGTTCTGTGCAGCAGCCAGATGTATCACAATCTATGTTCATCACAAACACCCTAAACTGACAGTGGAGAAAGGAGGACATATTTATAAAGGGTATCTCAGAAAATAATGTTTTTGTTACTGTCTGTCAGCCTGAGACAGATCGATGAACCTAAACAAAGTAATATTTTCTCAGTTTAAAAACTGACAACAAATCCTCTGTTGATGTGGATCATGCAGAGACAAAACAATAACGCAGCACACATTGAGAGAACATCTCTGAGCTGAATAAGTTTCACGAGGGAAGAACAACCCTTCCTCCAAAGCACAAGCCTGAACAGCAATCTTGGAAATGTGATTGTGTTTGCTGCTGCTTATTAAGTTTTGAGTTGTAATTAAGTTGAGTATTTCTTTTCCCTGAAAAAGATAAACTTTATACTTTAGAGGCTAAATGCAAGCAGTCGACCCAATAGTGCCAAATGTAGCCACTCTATTTCTTTAATGACACTGGTGATTTAGTAAAATCCTATACTTAAAAATAGATGAAGATGGCTGCATGCACCTTTTAAGAAACAAAGTTATTAAGGAGAGCAAAGATTTAATTTATCAAAGTAACTATGCAACAATCTAAATATTTAGGGATTAGTTTAAAAGTACAGATCTGTCTGAAAAGTATTTATTGCATCATCTTAAAGACTCAATGTAAAATCAGGAATTGTACTCTCCATAGTTATTGTCGTATTTTTCTGTTTGCTAGAAACATTATAAAACTGATCAAATCCTTTGTGTTGATGCTGCATAGATGAAAGGACTAAAAAACAACTCCTATTGTGTGAGAAAAAAACTGAAAGAAAGGAACCTGCCTTTGGTAAAGTGGGATTGTCTACTCAGTAAAGCGACTGCAGGGACAGTGTAGGGTCAGCGTCTCGACACAGATGTTATCAGACTCGCTGAGAGGTACAAGGCTGACAATCACTTTTTTTCCCCTCCAATAGATAACAAGTCACAAGAAACCTGCGTGACTGTGTGCTGGGAGAAACAGAGTCATTACGTACCTCTTTGGACTGCTGTGGGGAGCTCATTTCTGGTGAGACACAAAGAAAAAAAAATGACAAAAATGTCAGATGTTAAGTATTCTTATCCATATGCTAAACAATTAAGAGATGGGCCCAGATACCGGCGTCAAGCTTTACCAAGATTATAAACATTTACATGTACAAAACCTCTAAAATGTTCAGTTATACAGTTTTTTCTGTTATATGTTGCATACAACAATGCAGCATTGTGCACTGCCTGTAAACTGCCTAACTCTTTTTTCCCCCCCTCACTAAATAGAAATACTAATTTCATGGTTTGAAAGTATTTATATTTCCTGAAACCAGGAAGGGGAGAATCATCTATTGCCATTTGAAACTGAAGAAAATTCTGAAACATACTGTAAGTGTCTTTACTTGGAAACCACTTCTACATTTAAATGATATTATGTTTTTTTGTTTTTTGTTTTTATAATTATCATTTGTCTTACATTATTACCACTGCAATAATCAATGTGAAAATATTTTTGGAGAAGTGGACATAAATGTACAAAAAACAAGTACAATTATTGTGTTCTTAATGTTGCACTACATTTTATGCATACACAGTGATGTATGATATTTTCATTCATTATATTACTGTGAATTTCTCTCGCTGGCCCATGCAAAGTTGTGAGTTCATAAACTCCAATAATTAAGTACTTCCCATTCCTTCACATCGCTCCTTTTAAATCATATTAAAATATGACAGCCTGATCATTACACAGGTAAAATATAGGTAGCTGAATATGCTGTGTTAGGAATGAACTTGCACAAGCAAGGAAACTTAGTTGTGCTCAATGTGGAGAAAGAAAAATAAAAAATTGAAAAAAGGATAGTGACTGAACGTGGAGAATCGAATGGATTTGTAAGAAAATGGGAAAAGATGTAATTTACTGAACAGAGTGGAGGAAGAGGCAGCTTGATAAATTTCTGGAGGACAGTGGGAGAGCAATGGAGACGTAGAAAAGAGTTTCGTGTTGTTTTTGGGACAGGTGCGATGTGTATTGGCAGATGCGCTGCAGAAGGACAGACGATGTGTTTAGTGGTCCGTCTCCTGCTGGACATCTTCTTTCCTAAGGTTCTCCCATCATGCTGATATGTAATCAAACTGACAGCTCTGAGTGGGGCTGCATGGCTGTTGATTTGGGCAGGGAAGGTGGGGAGGGGGGTTGAAGACACCTCTGCCTGAGTGGCTTGTCACTTCCAATTTGAGGGTGGAAGTGATAGGAACCTGCATGAGGGGGGTTTAGGAGAGGGGGTCTGTTGACGCAGGCCACAAACCTCCCTTAAGTGATGAGATGTGCACAACCCTAACTCAAACTTAGACACGCCTCAGTGGGGTGGGAATAAAATATGTTGCTTTGGTTCAGTGTTGTTTTAGATTACTATGCACCACCAAGCTTGCTGTTGCTGTGTGGCAATGTGTGTTGAGTCTTTGTCTTCATTCTTTTGAACGAGCAGTGCGCAAAAAAAAAGAAAAAAAAGGAGTTGTGGTCTGAGTTGACGGCCTTTGACATCATTGTCTGATCTTGTTTGGATGTGCGGTGTATTATTTAATCGCCGAGCCCTATCTGGCGGTACATGTGGGATGTGAATTTTTCATTTCAATTTACATCGCCACACATGCAATCCATGAATATTTATCACAACCAAGATACCATCGCCTGGGAAGCACATTAGAGAGCAGCGATAGCAGCTTTTTTTTTTTTTAATGCGTCTGCTGTTATGAACTGATGGAGTCCATTGTAGTCACGAACAGGAACAGCGTTTAAAACATGCATGGGTATTGAACTTGAGCCTGCCATTAAAGTGGTAATTGAAATCTCCATGGATTTAACTGGTTTTTAATAAAATGTGCTGTGTCTGCTGTGTCTGGCCCCTTTTCCAAGTTTTAAGAGAGATTGGGAATTCTCTTTGATAGTTTCTACAACTTAATCCAAGTATAAACTTTAAAGACTTTAATATTTTTATATAGAAATCATATACATTGCTGTCTGGAAGCTTATGTCCATTTATTTGGGAGATACATGTCATATTGTGGTATTTTAAATAAGACATTAGAAATATATTTTCTTATCAGGATGGAATAATAATAATAATAATAATAATAATAATAATAATAATAATAATAATAATAATAATAATTCTTATTATTGTTATTATTATCATTATAATAATGATTATTGTTATCATTATCATTATTATTATTATTATTATTATTATTATTATTATTATTATAATATAACAAACCAATTCAATGAATTTGAAAAAGAATGATGTGATTTTCTCCTTTAGTTAGAGATACAGATTTACATCCTCTGGCTCAAACACATACAATTCCCCTATTTTGTGGATGAACTTGCCAAAGCAAGTTGTAGCAAAACCACATGCAAAGCATTGATTGTCATCTTCTGAGTTCTAGCCTAATTTTACTTAAATATTTCACCAGTTCTATCATAAGAATTACTGAAGCTCATTTACATTGGTTGGTTTCAAGTGATTAAACTTGTGGTAAATGTGATAGTAGTCATTCCCCGCCCCCCACTTTGTGCCATGCTGGACAAAATGGGTGAGTACATCACAGAAATAGTGTTGTTAAGTTCAAAAGCCTAATGCAAAGCCTCCTCAAAACCTGCATTGTGTCGTTTGGCTAAGATAGTTCAATAATTGTCTTATTTCTCATCAGAAATGTATATGTTATGCTTAAAAGTTAAGCCTGTGTCTGTCTGTGCAGTGTTTACTTTCTATTGTTTTTGTTGGTTATGTAATAAGCCCACCCTCCTGAAAACATCAATAATAATAATGATGATGATTATTATTATTATCCCATGCCCATAATGACATGGATGTCATGGATGTCATTATGACATCCATGCCAATGAGAAGTGAATGTACTTTAAACTTTTGATCTTGATTTTAGGATATTGATACCTTAATAATTTACATTTTTAAATCATTCTTATTTTAAAAAGGGAACAAGCTGAATAAAAACGTCTCGAGGAACACAGATTAACACTGGGTCTGCAACTGTTACATTTGTTGCTATATTGTTCAAATCATTTTTGGAAATAAATCTGACACAGTTGGATTTAATTCGATAAATCAAACCTTGAAAACAGAGCAGTTAATTCTGGCTCTGAAAGACCAGTTCACTCTCAAAACAGGAACCCAAAAGTATATTTCATCAGGTGGATTTGTTTCGTCACAAAGCATGAATGAAGCAGCTAATACAACTATGTAAACTGAATTTCAAGGGGATTTGCAAATATCATTTTTTTCTCTGTGGTATCCACTTGGTGAAGCTAATAGTTTCCGTTTGATTGCAATTTCACACTCACTCAATTCTACTCAGTATAACTATGCTATTGATTTTCACCGCTGTGCAGTGAAAGAGTAATAAATTGTTCAGAAGGGAAACTTTACAGCGAGTGAAACAAAAAAGGTCTATAAATTCACATACACGTATGCAGATGCAAACTATTCTTTTGCTAAAATTATATTGTTCTAACTGAATGCTTTTCGTTATTCTGACATACATGCATGCCAATATAAAAACAACTTGTTAAATAGGAATATTTATCATGATTCCATTAAATTCAAATTGTGTTTAAAGCATGATGGGACTTACTTTCATTTCATTTTCAACTTATCGATACTTAAAAAGGAGCCACATACAAAAATGCAGAAATAGGACTTAATACGACAGATACAAACTTTCAAAAATAATGTTTTCTAACCACACCGGATCAGTTAATATTTAATACCAACAAACTTCAACTTTGTTAAATACATTTTTTGTCTTTTTATTGGATACCTAAATAAATACCCAATATATTGAGTGGCTCCCATCTTGACTACAAAACTTCATGGAGCCACTCATGTGCTTTACTAATATAAAAGTTCATCTATCAAAACTTTGATTTTATCTCTTGACACTGAGACTTTATTTTGATTTGACTTCTTTTTTTGGCAAAGTGCTTGGAGATTAGGTGCTTTGTGAATTGGCACTATAAAAACAAACTTAATTGAATAGATTTGATAGCTTTGCATTTAATGCAGTTACAAAAAAAAAATCCACATTAAAACAGTTTTTCACTTAATGAATACAAAAATAAATGCTGTTGGTTTTGTTTTCAAAATACTCTGTGAATTTGATGATAGAAGGTGATTAAAAAGCAAATTTAAGTTCTGAGTCATGTCCCACTGTTGCCCTTCAAAACAACCTTGAGCAGCCACTTCTCTTTGCGAGACAAAGGCCTCTGAATATTCATACACAGCCCAGCATTACTGCAAGGATCCACATAAGCAAGGGGCACATCATTAGCGGATCCATTAGCGCTCGTTCCTCTCAAACATCCTTATTCAGCTCCCTTACAGACACATACATCAAACATTATTTTTTTTCCCTGCCACAGCCTCTGAGGAGGAGCAAAGGACAAAAACAATGTGAAATAATGAGCTTGTTAAGAGAAGGCTTGTGACCCCATGTTCGGCGAGAACTTGTTAAATCCTCGTTTTTAAGCAGAGACAGTCCAGGAGGGAGCTAGAAACCAGACAAGGCGTGTCTTCCTCCAGCCCACTATTCAGACTAGGCAGTCATGCTGCGCCACCATAAACCTTTCATTAGTCATTCAGCACACTGAGCGAGCCTGACCCCAACCAGCTGCACTCCCCTTCTCTCCCTGAAACCACCCACACCTGCACTCTGCAAAACCGATCCTCCTCCACTTGACTCTTTGTAGGAATACAAGGCACGGGCGTGCTAGTGAGGTTTATCAGAGGAAAAGCGCTTGAGAGTGAAGGTATTAGGCTTTGAGCTCCGCTCCATTGATGTTTTAAGTTGTTGTGGTAAGAGATAAAACAAGGTTTTAGCTGGTGCTAAATTCCTTTAGGACTGGGCAGGAGAGAGCAGCTGCCGGGGAAAGGGAGGTGACGAGTGGGCAGGCAGTGATTTGAGATTAAAGGAGACTCTCCAAAGACCAAACGCCGGCCATCTGAAAATTGTTTT